AAGTGTTTGAATGTCTTTTGATTTTAAACTTTCTCCAGCATTATTTCATATTGATGTGGCTAGTTTCATTAAATACTAGCATTGTATCAATTTCTAAGATCCTTCATCTTGTCTATTATGTGAAAAGACACATTTTTGAGTAAATTAGGGAGTTATACTGTTTAGGCCTTGAACAGCAGTCTTAGTCATTCTTTCTGATACATTTAGGATTAATATATAAAAAGATCTGTTTGATGATTATTTTTAAGCTAGCATCTTCATCTTGATTGCTTTTATCACAACATCCCACCTACTGCCATTGATCCTTTCTCAGGTGTCAGTCATATTTGGGAAACTTCAGGCTTGAACAACATAAAAACATGATAGTATGTAATGAAACTATAAAATTGGGAAGAGCCTAAAATATATGAAATGAAAATTGAATGAACCAGGCAAATCATTTCAAGGAATATAAGTAAATAAAAAAAATGGCATACTTTCTGTGGTTGAAAGACCTACAGAAAACAGACAAACAATATGGCAATTTCTGATCAGAAAAAGAAGGCATCTGATTTAAGCCTATAAAATATTTTTTATTTCATTTTGGTGAGGATTATGTTGTTGTTTTCATTGTTAGGTTTCTGTCATCTTTGCTCACTTTCCTGGGATTTTCAAACCTTTTCTAACTTGTTCTTTTGTTGCCTTCTTTCTCCCCCAAAATGGAGTATTGCTGCCATATACGGACAGTAGCTACCTAGTCTTCACTATCTGCTCTTGATAGAGTCCAGAACCATCTCTGCTTCCTTGTGGGTGATGAATTATTTTCCATTCTACAACCCCTTTCCTACAGACAAGACATTGCAAGCCTCTTGCTGCTCTATTGCTATTTCTAGGGAAAGTGTTCAGATGAACGACATTACTTAGTTTCAACTGTTCTAAGCTTCATATGTAAAGATCCGCCATGCCATGCCAAACCCATTGTAGCAAACAATCATTATTCCCTTTGTATTCCATTGGTCAGTTGTAAATTTCAATCAAGTGGTTTCTTCCCATGAACCACAATATTGTGAACCTCCCCCCCCACCCAAGAGGTTGCTTCTGCAATCACTACAATCTAAGATCAAGTCAAAGGTTCATTGTTATATTCCACACTTATCCACATAAGATGTGCCTCTTAATCTGTAATCTACTTCGAGTGGCTCTCAGGCCTTGCATAGGGTGAACATCATTGTAAGACTGAACCCTTTATTTCGCTCACTGGGGTAGACTGTGCCATGTGTCCTCAAGGACACATGGCACAGTGGATAAAGGCGTTAGTTAGATCCAGTGACAGGACCCAAAGAGTGTGAGTTCAATACCCAGGTAAAGCAGTGGAGAACTTGGAGAGGGGAATTAACAGGAGATAACTGATAACGGACATCCATTAAGCATGGCACATGGAACTAGAACAGTTTACCCCAGTGAGCAAAATAAAGAGTTCAGTTTGACATTCCAACCACCTGAACAAGGTTGGAGAGTACAATTAGCCAAAACGTTGTGATAAATATGGCGACAAAGATGAGGAAAATAGGCCGAATAATGTAAATAGTGTACATTATACTTCAACTCTGAAATATAGACAGATACTGAAGAAAGCCAGAGCGTACAACAGCTGAACCATTGTAATAAATATGGTTACAAAGATGAGGACAATAGTCTGAATAATGTAATAGTGTACATAATACCTCATCTCAGAAATATAGACAGATACTAAACTCTTGTATTTGTCCACTGTTTGACCAAAATAATTTAAACTCATTTCTCCCAGGAAAGGGGACTAACACTTTTATCCAGTGGGTCATATTCTGTAGAATTGATAAAAAATATTACAATTGGTAATGGCTATGTTATTTTAAAAAGAAAGTTTGAGACATAGTAATTTCAATAAGGAATATCCCCAAATCAGTTTTTAACATGTTTGTCATACTTTCCTCAACATTTTCTCTTTAAATTCAGTGTATCTTCATAGCAAATGTTTATTCACACATGTTTTGTTAAAAACAACATGAAAGTCATTTTTATTATATTTTTAATAAATTTTTATTGGCTAATTAATTTCCATATCTTTGTGTCTAAAATGTAAATGAACTGTCCACAGTTTGTGTTCTTGTTAAGGTTCCAAGATTTTGGTTGTCTTTTGCAAAACTTGTTTGAATTTTCTTCTTTGTTCTCATATCTCTGTTGACTGACATGAATGGCCCATGTTGAGGGAAGGTGTCTAATGGAGGGAAGGGTGTGTCTAATGGATGAGGGGAACAGGTTGTCTTCTTATTGTCAATAATTTTAGGACTCATAAATCCTTCCTCTCCAATATAATTCTCTGGAAGTGAGGAAGAGAGTGTGTAATTAATGGGATGCTCTTATTATCAGCATCTCTGCACTGACTTGTGTCACATACATGGAAGTTACAGGAAAATGGATTTCTTTATCAGCATTCAAAATGCTGTTTTTGACTTGGTCTTCAATAATGGCTACTACTACTACCAATAAAGAAGACTCATTGGCTTTAGTAATGACTATCTTCTTGTGTCTGTGACAGGTTTCAAACTACCCTAGAGATCCTTATCTATTTAGTTTTTAGTTTTTGACTTTTGTTTTGAGTGTGTGTATATATATATATATATATGCACTACAGTACAAAAGTTTCAGGCAAACTCTGGTAATTTTTTTTAAATTGGCCCCAAAAGTAGTTGTTTTGTACTTTAAATAAGAGAAAATTATTCTACTTGATTGAAAAAATGTGAGACATGATTTTTTATTAGAAATTTTTTTATGACTAAAAGAAAAAAAAACATTTTATGATTAAATTTTTTTCTCATCAAAATATCCTCCTTTAGCCTATATTACTGCAGCACAAATTTTTGGCATTCGTTGCAAAAGTTTCTCAAAGTATAAGTCTGATAATTGATTCCATTCTTTTTTTTCAATGACTCTTAGAGCTCTTTTTCATTTTTTTTTTCATTCTTCTGCCACATTAATATGAATTCTGGGGGTGGCTTATAAACTTTTGAACTGTAGTGGATATATGTCTGATGATCACAAAAACGTGAAACCCAGGGTCACAAACTCATATCCATACAACTTATTATGTTAGCTCTATCACTGATATTGAGTGCTAAGTACCACACACACACACACATATATATATATATATATATATATATATACACACACACACACACATACATACATACATACATACATACATATATATATATATATATAGAGAGAGAGAGATAGGAAAAGTGAAAAAGTTGGTGGAACTAATGGACAACTTGCCAAAAGATCTAATACCCTAATTAAGAGAAGCTCTCAAACATGCCATGATTACCTAAACAGAGTAAGAAGCACTTTACAACATTAACTCCTATCAAAGGACTGCCTGAGTCATAACCCAAGTTTCATGCTCACATAATCTTCAGATGATGTGAACATATATATATATATATATATATATATATATATATATATATGTGTGTGTGTGTGTTGGGATCAAATATGGATTGGAATCTGACAGAATTAGAGAGATAAAGAACAAATGGATAACATCAATCAAACATGTTTCACTTTTATTAGTTTATTCTGTAATAAATGTGATACATTTTAGATTGATAAATGCTTCCTATTTGTTCTTTATATTATACCATGCACACACACACACACACATATATATGATTTAATACAAATAAAATCTGCCACTTTTCTAATTGAAGCTATATTCAGTACTTCAACCCCAGAGTTTTGTAGACAAAGCTTTTTGTAATCATTTGGTCCACTCATCAGGAGGTTTCAGTGACTGATTCTGGATTTTCGTTATGTTTATACTAAGTTAAAAATTAATTTATGTGCTAGTTATAGGTGTTAGGTTGATTTTTTTTTCTTTCTCTTTTTATGTGTGTGTGTGTTTAAATGTTGTTTTAATTTCTCTTTTTCCTCCTTTCTTTGTCTCCTCATACTTTCTCCTTATTTCTTTTCCTCCTTTTTTCCCTTTCAGATCCATATTTTTTTATTATTTCAAAAGTTATTTTTAGTGGATACCTTTGAATAGATGCTTTATTTTTGTTTTTTCAAAGTATTTATTTTGCATACTGGCCTGCACACTTGAGAAAACTTAAAGAAAATGTGTCCCTGCTTGGTTGGGAAGCCCTTCATAGCTGAGCAGTTAAAGCACACTGAATCAAATGTTGATTTCTCTTGCAAAGTAGGACACAGGTTCAAATCATGCTGGAGGGCACATGTTTTTTTAATAAGTTTTCCTGTTTAAAATTAAAAAGAATAGATATCGCATATAACTTGAAGAAAAAAATAATGGCATAATCAAGATGTTGACATTCCATACTACTTCAAACAAAAGGTTAGGAAGGAAACTCCCATCAATACTAGAAAAGGCAATAACAGTGAACTTGAGAAACCTATTTTTCTGAAAAAAATGTTTTGATAGAAAGATTTTTATAAATTTCAACCGACAGTAGTGCCGGCTGTTTGATCAATGGATGCCATGTTTTCTTATAATGAAATGGCTAATATTACCATTTATCATTTACCTTTTACCATTTTCAGCAGTATAAGTGATCAGTGTAGCACAATTGATTACATATTTATACAAGAGAAGGCTTTTCATTTTCCTCCTTATTTTGTAAAGTAAACAAACACAAAAAATACGTTAAATCACTCAAACAACCAAAAGAATGACTTTTCTCGCCTTTTCATAACAAAGGTGTCTGTCTGTGTGTCTCTGTGTTAATTTGTCTTATTATTTGTCTGCATTATGCATGTGTAATCAGAATTTCACTAGAATTTTCAATTGTAACAGAGTTTTTGTTTTAATTTACAGATATTATTTGAGATTCAAAGATGATTACAGACAAGCTGCCATTGATGTTCTTCTTGGCCAGCCAATTGCTGAAGAAACTTTGCTGAGTGCTGGCTTACAAGAAGATGATGCCGAGGGTGAACTTTTGGAAAAAGAAGAGAATGTCCGAATGTTAATTGATGACCTAAAGAAGATGTTGATTGTAGAACCTGAACAGTGTCTTGGAGGATGGAGTCTTGTCAATGCTGACCCTGTGTATGTATATATTATTTATATTTGTTTACTTTTCAGAAAGTAATAAAGTATCGGGTCATCCCATAAGTTCTGTCCGAATTTTAACTTTTTGTTAAAATGAATGAAATTTAAAGAGTATTTTATCATGTCTAATGGAGCTGAACATTATTTTTATGTTTAGATGCATTTAAACTGATCAAATTTTATTTCAGAGAACAATAAAATAAAATTTTGTTTGATTAAAACCCTGCTAACATGGAAGTACGCAAGAATCATTTCAGGCACATAATGTGTTCAAGAAAGGAAACTCAGCAGCCAAAATGGCTAGAAACATTCACTCAGTTTATGGAGAGGAATGTGTGAATGAAAGAACTTGCAGAAGATGGTTTGCAAAATTCAGAGGTGGAGATTTCACCCTTGAAGATGAAGATTGAACTGGACGTCCAGTTGAGTTTGATGAAAAGCTTCTTGAAGCAGCCCTTGAAGAAAATCCTGCTTTATCAGTTGAGGAATTGGCAGTGGTTCTCAGTTCAAACCATACAACTGTTCATCATCATCTTCAACAACTTGGAAAAGTTCCTAAACTTGAAAAAATGGGTGCCTCATGAATTGTCTGAAAACCACCTCAAATCCCGAGTTGACATCTACTCTTCTCTCCATTCTCGCCAACTTGTTTCACCTTTTTTGGATAGACTTGTGACTGGCAATGAAAAATGGATCTTTTATCGAAATGTTAAGCGTCGTAGACAGTGGTTTGGTAAAGGTGAAGAACCCCAGCCACAGCCGAGAAGGGAACTTCATGGGCAAAAGGTTCTTACAATCTGGTGGGATTGCCAAAGAATAATCCACTTTGAATTCTTACCACCTAATGCAACAATTAATGCTCAAATATACTGTCAGCAATTAGAGTATTTGAACCAAGCTTTGAGGAAAAAAAGACCTGCTCTAGTGAATTGAAAAGAGGTGATGTTTCATCAGGACAATGCGTGACCCCATACAGCAAGAATCACGTCACAAAAGATCGAAGAAGTTGGTTGGGAGAAAATTCCTCATCCACCTTATTCTCCTGATCTTGCTCCTTCAGACTACCATTTGTTTCATAGCTTACAGAATCATTTGGAAGAAACAGCTTTTGTAACACAGGAAGAGGTTAAAACTGACATTTGTGAGTTCTTCGAATCAAAGCCAAAAGAATTTTACAGTAATGGAATTAGTAAGCTTATTAATAGATGAAAGGAAGTCAAAGATAATCAGGGAAAATACATTGTTGATTGAATCTGTAATTAAATGTAACATTTGGTCACTTGTTTTCTTTATTCAAAATTAGGACAGAACTTATGGGATGACCTGATATATCACACACACACACACACACACACACACATATATATATATATGGACATTTGACAAATGGAAAACGTTTCATTGAAACTAGATTTGATTACATGTTTCACCTTTCTAGGTTTCATCATATCTAAAAACAAAAAATAAATGTGTGTGTGTGTGTATTTGTGTGTATGCTTAAATAATGAATTATAGTAATTTTTCCCTAAGCTGATGTTTCTTGTGATTAAAGAAAATGAAATTGGATTCTTTTCCTATTTTAAACACATATATATATGTTTATTGGTATACGTGCTATAAACAACATGAAAAAAAGACTATTGCTTTGAAACATACTCTAACTGCTGCCTGGTCACTGGGTCATGGTAGGGATAATGAAAGTGGGTCTAGACATATGCAACCATTTCATCACCTAACGAGCATGTATATACTATTCAATGAAAAGAATCATGATATCCCTTTAAATAATAATTATTTATGGATATATGGTCATGTAACGAGAGTGTTAATGTCTCTACTATTAGATACAGGTTCAGATCTTAATATAATTGATTTGTCAAGAAGGTAGCTTATTGATTCTAATCCATGTGGGAATAATTGTGAAAACATTCCCCACCCCAAATTTATACACAAAATATACAGTTGCATGATGAGATTTCTTCCTAGCTAATACGATAGGCCACTTATTTGTCTTGTCCAACTTAGTTCTGTTCTTTCTTATCTTGAAGTTAGAATGCTGCAATCATACAGATGCATGATGGGATTTCTTCTTAGCCAATATGATAGGCCACTTCTTTGTCTCGTCATCCTACATCACAAATGTGATAGTGATAATTTCAGATAGAATTTCAAGTAATAACAGTGTGATCATTACAAGCCATCATTGTAAGCTACAGTTGTGCCTTGAACGAATATGGTTAAAAACCATATTCGTTCAAGGCACAACTGTAGCTGTATAAACTTTTGAAACATCTGGAAAAAAATTATCAGACATGCAACACACACACATTTTGTTACTTTCATGTTTATTTTTATGAATGTTGATGTGTTGTTTTTAGACCACCAGCTGACTTGCACACTCTTCCACAAACACAACATGAATTGGTAGTATTTAATAACATTTTATTGTTGGTTTGTGCTTTGGTACAATGACTTTGCATATACCCCTCTTTACACAAGCATAACCTATTGTAAACATCACAGATGACATTCTGTCACATACATACATACATATATATATATATATATATATATATATATTAGCAGCCATACCCAGCTGGTCAATCAGAAAAAATGTTCAGTTAGAAATGGAACAAAAACAGCATCATGTTTAGATGTAACAGAGTTTATCTTATTCAATTACTTTAAAGTACTTTCATTAAAAATCATTTTGAATTAATGCAGTTACTGACATAACAGAAGTAGTCTGTATTTATTCAATCAAATGTTGTCACTCCCCAAGTCGACATTGCAGTTGTAAACCAGTATCAATTGCTTTGAATCAAAACACCATTGCATAATACTACTTGTTCTGGGTACAATGATAAACTACATCTGGCAGCAAGGCATCTGATCTGGAGATTGGAAATTTTGAGGTGCATGCAACCACCTCTTAGTTGCTGTGGTTCCCAGGCCCAATCCGAACCTGGGTGGTAGCACCTGTTAGGGTCCCAGCTATGGGCAAATAGTGAACAGCCAAACAAAAATCAACAGTACATTTTTATAGTAAAATTACTAACAATACATTTTATGATCTACAAAATATATATGTAAAAAACATACCTTTACTCTGAAAGTATAAAATTATGTAGAAAATATCTGTAGTTGAAGGCATAAAATTACATTAAAAAATATTTAGATTTCAGTATTAAATAATCCATAGAGGTTAATATACTGACAGATAAGATCACTCAATGTAATACCACAGCCCACTATTTGATCCCAGAAGTGACACTTTCATATTACTTGTGACATACATTAATTGTAAGAATTTTTTTCAGTCATTTCACCCTCAGCAATTTGATAATGCCACTAGGATGCAAGTGGTTATTGTGAGAGAATCAGAAGATGTTAGTGAAAAGAAAGGACACTAAAAGAACAGGTTTCAAGAAGACAGAAAATAGTGATTGATGTTTGTAGGTGGACGGGATGCAAGAGTTCCACAGATGAGAAGTGCAAGAAAAGAAACTCTTAGCATAAAACAGATGGTTGCATCTAGTTCAGTAGTAAAACAGTGAGACCTAGTTGCCAATCTAGTAGCACATTTAAATTCATGCAGTTGAGGCACCAAGGAGGCAAGCTTGTCAGAGCAGTTGCCATGAAAAATATTTGTAGAAAAGACAGAGGGAAGCCACATCACATTGGTGAGAAAGTGACTGAAGTCGAGATTGCAGGTCAGGATCGATTACATATTTTGTTACTGGCATGCCATAATAATTGAAAGTCAGGTGATTGCATGAATACTTAAATGAACCACTGCCCTGTATCTATTTTCTACTTTATCAACAGTAATAGTAAAATGCTGTTACACCTATTGTCAACCTTAGTAAGCACCATATACCCACACACACACAGATATATAATAAAAACTATAAAGATAATATGATAGCACATTATTTACATTATTCAGACTATTGTCCTCATCTTTGTCGCTATATTTATTACAATGTTTCAGTTGTTGTATGCTCCAGCCTTCTTCAGGTGGTTGGAATGTTGAACTGAACCCTTTATTTTGCTCACTGGGATAGACTGGTCTACTTCCATGTGCTATGTTTAATGGATGTCAGTTATCTCATGTTAATTCCCCTCTCCAAGTTCTCCACTGCCTTAACCAGGTATTGAACTCACACTCTTTGGGTCCTGTCACTGTTAAGGCATTGGAGAACTTGGAGAGGGGAATTAACAGGAGATAACTGATAACTGACACCCATTAAACATGGTACATGGAACTAGAACAGTGAGCGAAGTAAAGGGTTCAGTTTGACATTCCAATCACCTGAAGAAGGCCAGAGTGTACAACGACCGAAACGTTGTAATATACATGGCGACAAAGATGAGGACAATAGTCCAAATAATATAAATAGTGTACATAATACCTCATCTCAGAAATATAGACGAATATGATAGTGATGTCATAAAAGTTATGGTTATGTTGATATTTTATATAGCACAAAGCTAAATGGACATAGGAAGATTGTGTTGCACCAAACCTGAGTGGGGAGTTTTGACCTGACTTGACAATCAACATTTAAAATCTTATCCTTTATTTGGGCTTAAAAACTGTAGCCATTGTGAACAGATCAGTGTGTACATTTATTGTTATCAAGTTTATCTAGCTTACTAGAGCCTTAGTTTAAAGTGGAATAAATACAAAAGATTGTACAGAAAAAAAATATCTTAAAAACCAACATCTAAATTCTGACGCCTTAATACCAGTTGGTAAAAGGGGGCTATCAGGAAAGAAAGTTATCATTATCTTCTCTGTGCGGAAATATAATTTTTGTAAAACATTTTTTTCAAATTTTTTCATTGTGAAGTTTTTATATAGAAATATGTCAATCTGATTATGTGTTCAAAGCAAAATTATGGCATATTTGAATGGTGAATTTTTTCCTTATAAATGATTCATTTTATGTACAAAATTTTAGAATATGGACCAGAACAGTCTCACAAAGTTG